AACGGCTTTAAGTGCTCTCTGAGGCACGGAGGAGTGTCAACGTTTTAAGAATTATGAGCCAAGCGAAATTCGACCTTGAAGGCCTAGCCGTAACTTTATACTCTGTGCTACAGAACATCTATTCTATTTCTGTGATCTAAATATTTTTTCTTAAGGTCTATTTTTGTGTGTGTTAATGACATCAGTGACTGTACTTTGTACATAGTACCTATTTTCGTACATATATGTATGCCATAGTCTCAAGTCAGTTAAGAAGCAACATATCTCGTATTTTTTTATTTATTTTAAGGGAGGACTGCTCACGCAGGCGGGAGGTAGCGTCAGACTCTTACTGACTAAAAACCACCCCGTTCCTTCTCTTGCACTTTGAGCCGGAGCCCCGGTAACCTGTTAGGTTCTCCGCGACAGCATATCTCGTATGGGGCTACTTATTATTTTACCTTTTTTTCAAATACACACTTAGACTGGCTTAACCTAAAGCGTAGAGAGATGTGAAAATAACAATCGTAACATTCGCTTTTGGCTGAGTTTATGCAGCATCAGAGCAAAGTTATTGTGCTACTTATGAGTAGGTACACATAAAATCGAAAAATATTCCATTACCTACACAACCTGACAATCAAATTGAAACCAATTACCAAGTAAACGCATTTTACGATTTGATGATTGAGGTAATCAACATCTTTGATTGACACAAATAAAATGGATGCGGGTGGCACTTTATTTTATTTTTGTGAAAAAGCATTAAAATCACGTCACGCCCCGCATGAGTCACTTTCGTCTGCCAAAAAATCAAATGAATTGTGTAATCTAATAAAATATTTGTGTGTGAATAAAAAATGAGCCGATTCCGAGAGCAATCAAGTTGGACAAGTAAAAATTGGTTTGCGTTAGAATTTGTGGCGGTAACAAAGAAAAATAATGTAAGTAGGATCGAAGCTCTTAGGTCATTTTGTAAGGGTCTCTCTGTCTGGCTCCGATCTTAAGTTGTTTTAGGTTAGTAAGTACTATAATTATTTTCTTTGCTCCTAAAGAAATCAATCAATAGTTAAGATAATTCTTCAAATCACCTTGGTAGGTACTCATTTACGGAGAATTTCAGATTGTACATATTATCGTAGAATTCTAAAGGCCCCAAATTATACGAATGTGGAAAGATTTTTCGATCTGTCTGCCATGAACGTACAAATAGATTGCAAATTCGTAATTGCGAATTATTTTTAAATAAGAATATACAATAATAGTTTGCGGTAATGACTATGGTAATCTTGTTTCTTCCTTTTATTTCTGGGTTTTACGTGTCTATTTCTTTCGTATCTATTTAGTTTTGGATGTGAGTTGTCAGTACTACCTACAGGAGTTTTACATAATGAAAAAATAATGAATATGTTTTTCAGTTTACCCACGTAATTATTCGACGAGGAACTCGACTAGTTTCAAGCCATAGGCCTCTATGGCTTGTCATAGAGGCCTATCTCATCTCATTCTCATGAGCAACATTCCGCGACCCGCGAGGCGGCGATTGTCACACTGCTGCTATGGATGCCGCGTCGCGGGCTTGTAGCATGGCTTGAAACTAGTCGAGTTCCTCGTCAAATAATTACGTGGGTGAGCCGAAAAATATAATAATTAATATAGTATGTCTCACTGAACATCATGAGCACCACATATGTATCTGGCTACTCCAAACAAAAACAGTAGGTACACTATTTAATTAATTTATTCAAATCATACATTTATTTTACTTTTCATTCATGTTTAAAACAAATATTTGTATACAGAATTCTACTATCATCGCTTTAAATAGTACGACAGTTCCTATATTTTATTTTATCTGTGTTATCAGTCATTTAATGCTGCAGTCAAATAACAAGACGTTTGTTTTATGAGACTTCACACTTTGCAAATAATATGTACGTATGATTAATTATTATGAGCTGTGTGTAAAATGTAAAAAGAAACCTATAGAAATGAAAATTTGTCAAAGTCAAACTCGGGACTAGCTGAATACATAAGTTTTTGTTTCTGAGTTTGACTTCGATTTTGACTTTGACAAGTTTTCATTTCTTTATGTTTCTTTCTTTTTTATGTCCCAAATGTTTTCATGAAATTTTTTAACTTTTTAACTTTCTATTTGTTCAACTTTTGGTACCTACGATTTCCACAATGCAATAATGTAGTATACTATGATGCGATGAATTGGTAGCCAGACGTGCATATTACGACACTTAATGCCACTATACAATGTAACATCCACTTTTTACTATTTATGTTATAAGTCCCATGTAATAGAAGGTGAGCCTATTGCTATACATACACACATTAGGATTTTCTCCTATGTCATGAGTGCGTTTACAAATATATAATTTAATGTAGGTACACATTACATTCTGACTAGAAACAACAATTTCACATGCCTTAGTATTTTTCCCTTGGTACGCACTGAATGCTAGTCAAAGCAATTTATTTAAGTCTAGACCAGTTACGACAAGATACATTTGTTTCTCGTTTCCGTCTAAACATAATAGATAACGCATTGCGCAATATTTATATGACACATTTTTTTTTATTGAGGAACATAATAATTGCGCAATGTTGTTTACCTGTATTCTGTAAATAGGGTATAATAAACAGGAAGTCATCATCAGCAGCAGCCTATAAATGCCTACTGCTGAGCAAAGCCTCTTCTCACACGGAGAAGGTTTTGAGCATTAATCACCACGCTTGCTCAATGCGGGTTGGCGATTTCAAACTTATAATTAGAAATTATAAGTCCAGGTTTCCTCACGATGTTATTCCTTCACCGTTTGTCAGTGGTGTCTAAATAATCTTAGTGTCGTGGTGGCCCGAAAACGGGAAATATATTGCGTTATTTAATTCTACATAATTTAGTTTTGGAAAGATGTAAGCAGTTTTTATTTATAAAACGTTTTATAAGTCATTTTCAAACGGTTTAATTTAGCTTGACTCGTTTGATTATTTATTTGTTAGGGTCAAAATTAATCATTGGAATTTCACCTCCTTTCTGACGACAGTTCGATCAGATTTTATTGTACATCTTATTCTTGATGACCGTTCAACAATATAATCTATTTTTTCCACAACTACCTCTATTATGGATATTAAACGAAAGGGCTCGATGGTAGAATTACATTTAAACCGCCAAAAAAAATTATTTTGTTTCGCCTGATATTATTTGGTGTTATAATTTTTATTTTCTGTTCAAATCCTGTTTTATGAAAAATCTTAACCGTAGTAATACTTAATACTATGTCTGACCAAGAAATCGATAGATTGCAACTATAAAATGGTATAAATTGCGATCATACAAAAGAAAACATCGAACCAAAACTATTCCTCAATAATCGAACATAATCCTACGAAACGAACAAAACAAGATTAGAAATCTAACTTTCTATCGACTATGAGTCTCATTATCTTTATAATATATATAATTTATTTATTTTTATTTATTTTTTTATTAATTATTCTGTGAGTGAACACTGTGAGTGAACACAGTGTCACTGAACTTCTCTCAAACGACTGGACCGATTTAGATGAAATTTTTTGTGTGTGTTCAAGGGGATCTGGGAATGGTTTAGATTCACAAATCAGCCCGGCATTATAGATGGCGCTGCAGTCGATGTTTAGGTTATTTATCAGCTAAACTAGCTGCTGCAACAGCAAAGCTAAACAGCTGAACTAATTTGAATGAATTTTTGTTTATACCTCTACATTCAAGTGGATATGCAGGACAACGTCTGTTGGGTCCGCTAGTTTTAATATAGAATACAAAACTGAATTCCATCGAAAGCCTTTAGACATATTTTGGTAAATAAATGATACCTACACAAAAAATAATCGTTCTTAGAACGTGTGCTTTCAGCTGTGACTAAAATAAGACCCCCAGTGGTTTCCGATACCTCCAACTTTTATATTTAGACACTTTTATATTTGTGTATTGAGGTCACGAGAAAATAGATAGACTTTGGCTTTTGTAATTCACAGCGTTTTTTCTAGATGTATTTCATATTAGACGTCGTTGTGTTGAAGTGGAGTAATCATGCTTTTCACAAATAAAACATTTCTTGTGATGTTATTTCTAGTGGTATCTTAGCAGGTTCCTACATAAAATATAATAGCTTAACAATGACCTGTGTTGTAGTTGAACGAGAACCTGGAGTTTCTTGCTCGTTCTTCTCCACTCGAATCGACATTTTGGAACGAGCGCCTAGCTTCACTGACGGACAGACTGACAGACTATTATTTATTTCATATTTGTTGACGTTTCAAAAGTACCAAATTAAGGTTTAATTGAAATAAATGCTTTTGAGTTTGAGTTTTGAGTTTGAACCTATTACTTCGACATTTCTCTAATTCGTTGTGTCTATTCTACCTCTATTCCATATTGCTCTATTCTACCTCTTTATCAAAATTGGTTTTTTAATCAACAAAGAAAACAAACATTTTACAGCAGTAGCATTTACACAAAAGAAGTGCATAATGATTGGTGAATATGTGTGTATGGCTAAACAATGCATGGCTTAAAACAATCCTGTTCAAACTATGTCAGAAACTGAAGTCATTTTGAAAAAACAAAGGACAGAAGTGCGATTTAAATCCTAGTTGCCTACTACCATAGATCATACAGATCATCAACAGCAGCCTATAAATGCCCACTGCTGAGCAAAGCCTCTTCTCACACGGAGAAGGTTTGAGCATTAATCACCACGCTTGCTTAATGCGGGTTGGCGATTACAAACTTATAATTAAAAATTATAAGCCCAGGTTTCCTCACGATGTTTTCCTTCACCGTGTCTTAATAATCTTAGAAAGTACATATAACTCGGAAAAAGTCACATTGGTACATGCCGTTAGTAGGTTTCGAATCCGCACCCTCATGGATGAGAAGCGGGCGTCTTAAACCTCCGGGCCACAACGACATCTTATCCTCATACAGGTCATACAGGTACTCAACTTAAAAAGTCATGGACACTTACCTCTTTCTCTCTCAGCTAAGGCTGGTAAGTCCAAGTCACTCATTTTTTAAATTTAGCCTCACTATTTATTTTCAAAAAATGTTTTATTAACGCACTGTTACGCGTACTTCTCATGTCAATGGCAGCCTCCTTAATAACATTGTAACATAAAATAATGTTATATGACGTCAAAATTAATTTATCTTAGAAACGGCCTTGTGACAACTAATTAATCTTGATCCTTTTGTTGTATGACTCGTCTTTATGATGTAGAGAGCCTGAGAGGTCTTGGTCGTTGGTCGTTTTGAGAGAGTAAATCAAAATGATAAGACTATAATTATACTTTTCCTGAATAGCTACTGTTTGTCTTAAGTTTACATTTCTGTGATTTATGTCAAAAATATTATACGTACGTACGCTTCTCTGCCTTACGTGTACGACTAAAATAAAATTTAGGTAATTGTATGATGAAATCCTACTTATATTATATTGTTATTATGTATGTCTTTACCATTCACGGGACCACAGGGTCCCGGTCATTTGGGCGGCGTACGAGGGCCCGAAGCCAACTGCGCAGAGGTCCTTTAGACAACTTTAATCTAAATGTAATGGACACACAAACTGACCTGTATGCACTATGGAAATGCACCCAAGGACAGTCCCCGGCTAGTATAGAACTTAGTATAGTTACTATAGTAGGTAAATTGGGAACTATGGATGACTATGGCACCTGCCGAAACAATGTAATTATTACACGTGAAAATGGCATATATATTATACTATTATTATTATTCCTAATGCGAGAGTTTGTATGTCTGTTTGTTGGTTCCTTCGCGTCAAAACGGCTGAAGGAATAGAAATAAAATTTGATACAGGTGTAGCTTATGGTCTGGTATAACAGACAGGTCAGTTTTGCTATAGAAACACGGGCGAAGCCGCTGGCAGTAGCTAGTAATTGCTATAAGGTCCAACCATGGACCTGCTAGACGAATTACCAGTTTATTGTAGGCTTTCATATAAACTCATTAATCTGTCAAACACCAAGCGGTCACCGGTGACCGCGACCTATTGTTCTTTAATTGTGTCTATAAAACCGGTACTCGACGAGTTAATAGATTTCATGCCAGTTTTCTATAACTGTTATATGCCTCGTCCCCGAGTGGTCACCGGTGCGACTGCCGGGCAAGGGTCTCGTGTTCGATTCCCGGGTCCAGCAAAGTATTACGGGGTTTTTAATTCTCAGTAGTAGGATGGAGCCTGGAATTGTGCCTGGTATATGGCGATAGGATCACTCCCTGTTATAAGGGACTAAAAGTGGGCGTTACCAATGTAACGCCCATGTAACTGTATAATTACAGTGGCATAATGTGCACCTCTGCCTACCCCTGTGAAGATAAAAGGCGTGATGTTATGTTATGTTTTTTATAACACCGTGGTATCACTCCAGTCGAGCCGGCCCATTCGTGCCGAAGCATGGCTCTCACAGTTATGTGTGAATTATTGATCGATTACGGCCCACGTCCAATCTAACACCCTTATACTATCTTGCCCTATACACAGCTGACGTCACTCATCCACTTCCGCATGATAAAAGTACCCACCTCGATACAGGGTGTTGTGAAACATCTATAGCTATTATTAAGCCTAAAAAAACACAATAGTATAGAATCACAGTTTAGAAATTTAGCTTTAATTCGGTTTTGTATGTTACTTAAATTCATTCAGAAATCGCTAATAAACAATCCAATTGACTGATTAGCTGGCTCAGTCCTAGTAATGTAAAATAGGTCATAGATATAAGGCGTGAAGTTATGTTATGTTAATTTCTAATTATAAGTTTGAAATCGCCATCCCACATTGAGCAAACGTGGTGATTAACCTGTGTAGTGTCGGAACGCTGATCTACGCGAGACACAATGGGTTTTCTACTGTGTCTCATATATCGACAGAGGTTCATGCACAAACCTTCTCATTGTGAGAAGAGGCCTTTAGTCAGCAGTAGCCACGTATAAGCTGTTGATGCTAACAAGTTTATATAGAGCAATCTAGATAATCTCTTAACTCCATCTGGAGGGGTTTAAAAAAATCATACTTTGTTATGATTTTTTCTTTTTCTTTTTTTTCTCCTGTATCGTGGGTGCATTTACAAACATACAAGTTCACATACACATCACACCCAGACCCGAAACAACAATTTGTGGATCACACAAAGTGTTGTTCCGAGCGGGAATCGAACCCGCGACACGTTGCCCGGCCCAGCCGGTTGCCCAGCCACCGCATCAACCGATAAGGCATTATGACCCAAATATCCTTGATATACACTTTATACCCTTCGGCATCACCTTGTACATCGTAGGTATATCGTCGCCCACTCGATCACTCAACTAATCATAATCGTCTTACATAAAGCGATCTCTGTTACTTATAGTTACAGTTTCTCTAATCTCCTTTGACGGAGCTTTTGGATCTTCGTATACTGTTACGAACAGTTCTATAAGCTGTGATCTGATAGTTTCGGATTGATCTGTTTTTGTTTTTGAATTTTACTGGCTCGTTCGTCAAATGATGACAATCAACACATAAGATAACATCACGCCTTTTATTCCCGAACGGGTAGGCAGAGGTGCACATTAAGGCACTTAATTCCTCTGTACAATGTAATACTAACTTTTCACTATTTATGTTATGAGTCCCGTGTAATAGGTTCTGGGTTCGCTTGCACTTCGATAAGAAAGTATTATTAGTTTCGGTATTTAAAAAAATCATAATATAGTACCTACAGGGTCTGAAATTGTTGGCAATAGGCACGACCTTTATTACATGAGACTAATTAAAAATAATACAACTATGTATCTTTGACTGCCTCGTTGGCCGAGTGGTCGCAAGTGCGACCGCCGAGCAAGGGGTCTCGGGTTCGATTCCCGGGTCGGGCAAAATATTACTGGGATTTTTAAAAAAAAATCTGAGTACTAGCATGGAGTCTGGAAATGTGCTCGGTATATGCCAATAGGCTCACCCCCTATTACATGGGACTCATAACATAGTGACACATAGGTACTTGCAAATAAAAGTCCACACAAAGCCCTGGAACTCATCACGTGTTCACTACACAATGTCTATTTCATTTTCTACGCACGTCATCGCAAAAAATCTCAACAAGCTCCGATTGGTCGGACTCTCACTGCACGCATGACCGAATCGAATGTACAAGCCCACACAGGACTTTGAGGATGGGAGCCATAGAAAATCTTCCGGGAGAATTCGTGCATGTTCCTACTGCTCAAATACCTTGTTCATTCCCTGAAGGTTTAAGTTTTTGAAAAGGTTCTGACGATGGATAGATGATTTTCTTTGTTTATTTCGTTTTTATACGCGGCAAAATGGCACGTCGTGTACGTCATTATCCGTGACGGTTTACTACATTCGATGATCTTTATTTTATCGTCTCATATACATATTATCAAGACAAAGTATACCAACATTTTTTTTAAACGTAGCCCCACACTAGGATTTTCTCCTGTGTCGTGGGTGCGTTTAAAAACATACAAGATCAAATACACATGACACCTAGACCCGGAAAAACAATTTCTGGATCACACAAAGAGTTGATCCGTGCGGAAATCGAACAGCGCCAACCGTGCAGTCAGTCGAATAATAAAATCGAATTAGTTAACTATAAGGTTGGGAAGCAAACTAGCAAACCAGCACCAGAAACTTGGTCACTCATCATGTCAACTTGTACAGCTATTACAGAAGTACATATAAATGTTTATTAGTAAAGTAAAGTCAAACTTAAATTAAAACCAAATACTATATTCCTTTTAATAGAGAAACCACTATTAACTCAACAATCGTTACTGAATGTCATCCCTGAATCTGTTGCCACTGGTTGCCACAATACCTTTAGCATTAGATTCATCTATAGCCTACAGCTATATACAAGAAACATCGAGAGAATGGCCTGTCCTCAACAGAGCTATTGTTCTCTAGAACATTCCATCTGATTTAATTATTTAAGATTAAAAGAAAGCGGCCGATTGAGAATGCCTATTATAATTATGAAGCTTTATGAAACCTATCGCCTTTATAAATGAGAAGGGTTAGAAGTTTAAAATTAAGGATGTCATGTAAAGGTAGAAAATTTTGTTCACATTTTTAAAAATTCGTCTTTTAACTTTGTATGTTCTACACCTTAATTTAAAAATATGTGCGTCAACGTTAAATAGTCACTGTTTATCCCCATGGGAAACAGGCGTAAGGTTATGTATGTATATATATATATAAGAAAATGTGTGCAAACGGTTAGTAAATAAAAATTCAAATCAACATAAATAGGTATATTTATTAAGTATCTTAACTTATTACTAAATTATCCTAATAAGTACGTTATTGTTTCTTCTTTGGCAGGAATACAGTTAATATCACGACAACTGAAACAAATAAAAATAATCTTTATCCTCAAATGCAACCATTAAATCAGCCACAAGATGTACACTCCTGAACATAAGCAATAATTTCCAGATCGGTCTGTTGGTAACAACCTCCATCCAGCAACCTTTAGCTACATACATTACTAGTGATTACCTAGGTCGTTAACAGAATCCGTCTCTTCAACAAGAAGTTACTATTAAGTAGCTAGATTTATCAAGAAAATTTCCCACCAAAATAATAATAAATCAAATAAACACGTAATGACGTGTGACATGACATAATAATGTAATAAACAAGTCGTTGTAATGACAAGGACTTTTTTATTACATTATTATGTTTTCGGCTTACTCACGTAGTAATTCGACGAGGAACTCGAGTAGCCAGTAGCAGCGCGACAGTCGCCGCGTCGCGGGTCGCGAAATGCTGCTCATGAATATGAGCCTCTAGCATGGCTTGAAACTAGTCGAGTTCTTAGTCGAATTACTACGTGGGTAAGCCGAAAACATAATAATTTATTTAGTATGTCTCCCGAAAGTTACAATACAGACTTGTTTATTTGTTAATTCTAACATTACATAGAAGAAGCAATGATTAAAAACGTTACTCAGTTACCCAATCTACAATTTATTCACACAGGTAACACAACACCACAAAACCCAGTTTATCGACTAAAACAGAATGTCCAGGACAATGTGATTTACATCTAAAATGTTAAATAGCAACTGGAAGCTCCCCACAGCTTCTAGTTGGGAAATATTTTGCATATTAAACTGAATTTCATAAGAACAGGTAGTGGTTTTAATGTCAATGCATTATGGAAGAGTAAGAGCGCAAACATTTTGGGGTAATATTAGAAAATTGTATGTTAAACGCAAAGCTTACTTATATGGAACGTAAGCTTTGGCTGTTGGTTCAGTTAATGGTCTACTGAAATTACCTGTATAGAATTTAGACTATAACAAAATTGTGTTAGAGATGATATTCTAGTGCATAGTATTATGTGTGATAACCAGGAAGCGTCTATTGACAAAGATAATGATAATGAAAGAGATGATGGTAAAGACGTGATGACAGATTTAGGAATTGAGTCTGGTGTATCTAGCGATCACCTAGGGGTGATCGATGTCATGATCATGTTATAAAAATAAATAAAGATTATAAGAAATAAAGATTATACTTACATCCCATGAGCGCAGCCATTGTGTAGAAAGGTATGGAGCAGCCCATGGCTAGGAGGATGGGGAAGGCGACGTTGCCAACCAGTGTCCCCATACGAGCAGTCAGCATTACTAAAGATAGTGATAGCGTCCTGGTGGAAAGAAAGAAAATTTGTTTATACAGAATATTTTTACTGCACTGAAATACTTTACATTTTTGAGCGAATTTTTGAACAAATATGGTGAGTGTGCAAAGAAAGGCTACTGGTACAACTATATGAGGGATTTAGGTTCCAATTAGGGCAATAGCATAACTATTACATTTATTCATTTTTAAATTCGTAATTAACTTAGACATTTGTAAAGAATTGTCTGACATTGTATTGTAATGAGATATTGATACAACATACTAATAAAAATAAGTAGGCTATTACTTCTGCATACTTCTTTAAAGAAAATAATATATGATTCTACATTAATATCACCATAATATTCGTACCTCATAGCAGTAGGAAACACATCAATCAACACGACTTGCGTCAAACTCTTCATCGTCTGCGTCACTGCTATGTTTGTTGAGAAGAACGCTACCATCATGGTCTTGGAATTGGACCATCTCAAGCCAAGCAAAGATCCACTGGACATGAGACCACCAACGAACAGCAGAACCTTCTTCCCAACTTTGTTCACGATGACTCCACTGATGAAGTATGGCAGAAGGCTGATGAGGCCTATAATTATGCTGTTTATGTAGGTTTCTGAACCGCTCACGTGCTGGATAGGGAGAAAAATTTGGGTAAGCACAATGATGGATACATAATGGATGGTCACTTGGTCACTTAGTCACTTGGTCGATGTCAAGGTGGATAAGTGATCTGATAAAGGACATAAGTAGCCACGAGAAGTGGGTTCTTTTGTATGTTCAGGAGTAAGCGTCTTGTAGCTGTTATGATGATCATAAAATATAATGCTGATTGGTGAATAACGAGTGCCTAATTAATTGTCATAGTCTTATTATAATAGCGTAGGATTTTTTTATAATAGTACGGGATCGTTAATATTTTCACCAACAACCCTTACACTATCTCTTAACTAAAAGTTTCTTAAGGTGACGTAGCATTTAAACTAACCCCTTATTTCTATTGTTAGGTGTCACTTATGAGTTAGTGAAAATCTTAGCTAAGTTGTTCCTTAAAATTTAGGAGACCTATCTACTGTATTAGTAAATACCGTATTTGAGTTTGTTAAACCTTTTATTTTAATAATAACATCTACAACACTAAAATATAATTATCTCTAGAATCGATAGAACAATATTAAAGCTGACATACATAAACGATAAGTACTAATAACATCTTTGATCTACATTTAAAACTTTCGACAGTTGGAATTGATATTAATAAAGGTAGTGCCACGATAAATAATGGAGGTCATTGTGGTTTTAGAACTTAGACCGCATTGCTAAGGGTGTGTGTAGTTCCAAACTAAACCGCGTCAAATTATTGTGGGGAAGCTATTTGCTGAAGCACATTTCCCCTAATTGGATGGGTTTAGCTTTAAACTTCGTATCACTTTGTTAATTAAAGATACACATTGAAAAACTTACAATACATACAATACAAGTGTGGGGGAGCCATGCTTCGGCACGAATGGGCCGGCTCGACTGGAGTGATACCACGGCCTCACGGAAAACCGACGTGAAGCAACGCTCGCGTTGTGTTTCGTCGTGTGAGTGAGGTTACCAGAGGCCTAATTACCCTCCTCTTCCCCCAATCTCCCCAATTCCTGAATCCCCAACGATCCTCAAACTCTTAATCCCCAAAAGGCCGGTAACGCACGGTGTAACGCCTCTGGTGTTCCAGGTATCCATGGGCGACACCGATTGCTTACCATCAGGTGATTCGTACGCTCGTTTACCGGCTTATACCATAAAAAAAAATACAGGACAATACAACTAGACTCACAATGTGACTCAAAATCCCCCACTGTGCGTGTCAAACCACGCCCATTATAGATTTTCGTGTCATGAAAATTGTTAATTTTATCGACCGCAGAGTTAAGTTTGTTTTTCATACTGATCGTATGTAAGACAACTTTATGAATGCAGTTAAGAAAAATATTTATATTAATTAATTTTTGTAATTGATTTTGTGGCGGTTTCCAGATCATGACAGCTGCGGATATGGACGAAATGTAAGGGTTTTTTATTGAATATTCGATGCGATATTTGATAAAGAGTTTCAATTTATAGATACCCGAACTGTAACCCGAGATATAGGAGTCAAACGTCGACTATCAATGATATACGCTACGCATTGAAAATGTTTTCTATGAAAGACACCAATACTGATATAGTAACAGTATAGTTTAATCTTCTTGGGTTTACTAAAAAAAGTATTATTGACTTAGTCTTATTATTATTTATTTATCTTTATATCACACAGGTAAGTATCTTATAATCTAAGCCCCACAAAACCGTTGCAATGGTTTGACTGCGGGGTCGAGTCGCTAAACATTACAATTAAATGTACATGATTTAAATGATCTATAATTATATCTTTTTCAGACGTTTTCAGTAATAGAACTTCCTTCTGAAAGTGTCACCAGTATATTGCTTAAGCTCGCTCCCAATAGGGTAGATGACTAATTTTCATTTGAATGTCAGTCTTGTACATTATTTTAAAACATTAGACACGTATTTTTAATTTTCTAACAAAAACAAATACTTTCGATGATCTATTGATTTAAAATATCGCGTGACGTCACTTCTTGGTACGTTTTATTCGTAGAAATGATGTTTTCACTCCCAGTCCTAAAGTTTGATTCGTTTTATCTAAGTATTGTTTTCTTGTATGACAAATTAAAAAAATACGTGTCTAATATTTTTTCATTATGTTACTGACGGACTAAATATTTTTTTTTAATTTTCATATCCTGTCATCATCCCTATTGCACGACGCTTATGACGTAACAAACGAAAATCAGCTGTTACAACACGTAGCCATAATGTTATTAACGAATTAAAAAACCCTCATTGTATAATTCCGTCGTTGACCGAGTGGTCGCAAGTGCGACGGCTGGGCAAGGGGTCTCGGGTTCGATTCCAGGGCCGAGCAAAGTGTTACTGGGTTTTTTTTTTTAAATTCTCAGTAGTAGCACGGAGTCTGGAATTGTGTCCGGTATATGACAATAGGCTCACCCCCTATTACATGGGACTCATAACATAAATAGTGAAAAGTGGGTGTTACATTGTACAGTGGCATAATGTACACCTCTGCCTACCCCTTCAGGGATAAAAGGCGTGATGTTATGTATGTATGTATTGTATAATTCCAAAAAAAAGTTCAATGAACAAAAGACCTCTAAATCACGAAGCTTCTGTAATTGGACACCACACAGGCCTTACATAACAAATCTGAAACAGTTTGTTTGTTAGCCAATTTCAGGGGAGAGGTCGATTTCAGTGAAACATTATACCTCCGATATAAATCATGGGAGGGAGAGGACTGAGGGTATTTTTCCCCGGAACTCAATTTGAGGTCTCCGGAGGTTCCCATCATTGGTTCTAAAGTAGGTAACTGAAAGGCGAAGTTTTCAGCAATCATATATCACTGTCTTCATATTGGTTCGAGGTAACTTAGTTTCAAGCTGTTCGCAAGTTATGAAAAATTGGTAGGTTTTCAGTTTGGAGCCAATTGTCCACTTGATAGTTCGATTTAAAGTTTTTACTCAGATTTTTTAAGTGGGGAAAATCATCGATTGCCTGCTCCCGCCTGGGTGAGGCGGAAGGGAGTGTCAGACTCTTACTGACTAAAAACCACCCCGTTCCTTCTCCTGCACGTCGAGCCGGAGCCCCGGTTACCCGTTAGGTCCTTCGTGACGTTTTTACCGAGATTGGGTTTTCTGATTTTTTATTTAATAAAATATTTCTTATACAAAGAATACATATAGACAGACATACATATAGTGACCAGATTGGCGATATATTAAAGAAGGGCCAAATTAAAAATACCCTTAACCGATGAACATGCATGAAAAGATTGATGACTGTTGATGAAGCGAAAGAGGTACATAGGTACCTCTTTCGTCGAATCGTAGTGATTGGTATTCCCTAGTCTCTGCCTAGACAGGCGTGAAGTTATGTATGTATGTATGTAAAAAATACAATGCACTTAAAATATGAGAAAATATGATAACTTAAGGTTAAAGTACAGAGTATGAGCATGCGGGCGGTATATTGAATTTTTTTCTACTAAAACATATAATCAATTAACAACGTGGGTATTACTAAAAATATAACAGAAGTTAATAGTTTTTATTTTTATAACCAACGTTGTTTTTACTTTATTCTTCTATTTATAATAAATAAAACGAATTTCCGTTCGTTAGTTTTGCTAAAACTCGAAAATGGAAGGACCGTTTGGCTAATTTTGCTTTTGAATCATTGGTTTAAAAGGTGATAAAACAATATTGGAGGCAATACGATGTTTGCCGGGTTAGCTAGTATTTGATTAAAATCATATCACTCATCATTATTTCTGTTAATTTTGATATAATAATATTGAATGTGTAAATCGGAATTCCATTTACCAAATTCTAATTAGCACGAAATGTGGATTAAACGATATATTAGGTAAATAATCAGAATTAACAAAATAATTAAAATGATTACATGTAAAACACACATATTTCATGTGGTATTTATTTTTGACTGCCTCGTTGGCCGAGTGGTCGCAAATGCAATTGCCGGGCAAGGGGTCATAGGTTCGACTCCCAGGTCGGACAATACATTAATGGGTTTAAAAAAAATCTTAGTATTAGCACGAAACCTGGAATTGTGCCCGATATATGGCAATAGGCTCATCCCCTATTATATGAAACTCATTACATAAATAGTGAACAGTGGGTGTTACATTGTACAGTGGCATTAAGTGCCGTGCCGAATTATTATGTTATTAATTTTTGATGAAGATTTTCAATAAATGCTAAATAGACTTACCGGCACACAAACATCTGAAGTAGAATTCGAAGCACTTTTGACTTTCAAAGTCCCTGTATATTCATCTAATAAGCCACATAAATTCTGACCGCCCTCAAAACTGTAATGTTCCACAATTGTCGACAGCTGCGGAAACCACAGCCGAATAACGTTATGTCTGCAAAAAAAGAAACACACTGTATATTCATCTATCTTTAGCAAGTAATTTCGCGTGGAAATTGTCACCACGATCGTTTTCATGTGATTTTATGCTTTAAGTTAAACGTCAGAGTGTTGAAAATGTGCTCGTAGTATGAATGTCAAATTAATGCTTGAAATAAATTGGGCTGAGGTTTTTAATTTGTGACTTAATATATTTGCACGCTTATTTATTGGGAAGAGAAGGATATATTTATGTATATTTATTGTAGGTAGTGCGTTATGCATTTTTAAAACCATTTATATAGCTAATGAAGGCAATATAAGAATGATTATTCAAATTATAATTCTTTTAAGAACTATGTATTTTCAAAAAAACCGACGACAAACTCTGTTTTTTAAATAGGTTAATTGATATAGGTACTAAAACCTGGAAACCGCATCAAAATCTGTACAGCCAATCACGAGATAATCACGCATCGACATACATACATACACGCATTACTAACTACACAACCAACAAAGTCAGAATTTAATCAACTAAAATCAAGAAATGTAATTCGACCGGTATTATTGTGGCTGGTCAGGTCAATAGCTTTCAGGAGATAGGTGGTAGATCGAATTTTCGAAGCCTTAAACGCTTTGACAGAGGGGCAGACGAAAAAAATCCAGAAAAGCATCAAATGGTTGAAGCAGGCAAAATAATCCTTTGAGTCTGGGAAATGTGAAGTGAAAAAGAAAAAAAAAGACGTCAAGGTAAAAATCGGGGCTAATACCCTCTTTCAGTTCACAATCCTTTGAATTCGAGTTTTAGTTAGACTATAAAAATATTATCTCGATTAAATTGTGATAAGTTTCTTTCGTATTCACTGGTTTTCTGCGAGTTTTGTGTTGTTGTAAAACCTTTTCTAATTTAATTATTTATTTTTAATTGAACTTTGTCCTACACTAGGATTTTATCCTGTGTCATGAGTTTACAAACATACGAGTTCATATACTTGTAAGAGTTATTTATTTTATCTCGACTACTTTCAAGCTACGCACGGGGCTCACAGTCGTAGCAACAGATTTTTTATACGCATAGCTTCTGTAAAACATACTAAATTATTTATTATGTTTTCGGTTTACTCACGTAACTGTATGATGACGATCTCGACTAGTTTCAAGCCATGTGAAAGGCTCATATTGACTCAGAATATGAGCCTTTACGACAGTTACGTAGGTCGAAAACATAATAACTAATACTTTTCTGACATAGGAGTCAATTCTCATTAACATTGACGCCTTCTCATCTAACGAAAAGACCTAAGTTATACACCTATCAGCATAAAATGCCATATTTAAATCACTTACCGCACGCCGTCTCACTCTTATGTTGAACTGTGACGTCAGAGTACAGAAGCATCATAAAATTAACATCAACACAAAGCTGCTAATCTTAGTCATTCCCAAAGTCATCTACAAATCCTAAAAGCATAACATTTATCACGCTTTTTGTTACCTAATTGAAAAAAACAAACCTAAATACGTCTTCAACAGAACAAAAGCAAAATTATGAATATTTTTTGACCTTTACTTTGAACCAAGGATCATGCTCAGTTGTACTTAAAACTACTGGATCTAAATATGAGTTATGAAAAAAAATATATAAAAATATACTTACATTCCAAGAGTAATGAATTGCATCAGTCCAATTAATAATAAATACCCCAATAAGGGTCTGCCCAGTAGCGGTTTCATATTCTTTAGAGAGGTTAAGATTTTTTTAGCAAAATTATCTTTTACTTCGCCATCAGCTTTGGTGGTTGCATTCTCCTTAATCTCCTTTTCAAAAATGTTTTGGTACTAGAAAATGAAAGGAAAAGTTCGACATATTAGGAAAAACTTTGGACTCGTGTTTACTGAAAGCAAACTAGTATATTTGTAAAGAAAATAGGTTTTATTTAATTCCGAATTGAACACTATAAATTGTCAAATAGTCTATGGTTTGTTTAGACGTCAGTATTATACGAATTTTGTGTTAAATAATATCAAAGAGTATAATAAGTATAGGGGTAGTAGAAGAGTAAACATTAAATGTCGTTTCTTCATTTTAAGAAGCAACACATTAGTTTTATTTAATTCTAAATCATAAGATTTAGTCTTATATATTTATTCAGAAGTTTACTTCAAATGGCCGCCAACGTTCCTACTCTTACACTTCGAACCAAAGCCCCGGTAACCAAAGTATTAGTTAAGCTTATACTATATAATGGGTACCACCAATAAAAGACTCACTTCTACTAATATTGTATGGTTCTTAATAAAACTACGAGCCGTTACTAAAAATGACGAAACTAAAAAAGTCAATAAAACGTTCTTCAAGTCAGTCAGTACATGAACCGGTTTTTAACAAAGATCACGAATTAACCAACAACAGTTTAGTAATAACATAACTAAGGGATAAAAGTTTAAGAAATCACAAAAGGAATACATTAAACCATTAAGGCGAAGACCTTTCAAATAATTTATTACATTAAAGGAACAAAAGGAGTTTGAGAGAACCTCCCCCCTCACCTTTTCTTTTTGAATAAGAAAATAGGAGCTTCCTTTCTAAAGGCAAGTATTCCCAGATCAAAATTCTTATATAAAATGCATTATTCTCACCGGAAATGTGTCGGCAGGTTTTCCTGTGTTCTCAGAATAAACTTGGATCAAAATATTCTTTGCTTCGACATATCTTTTCTGTGTCACTAAATATTTTGGACTTTCTGGTAGTATCATGTATAATAAAAAGGCTGTTAGCGACCATAAAGACATTATAAGGAGGTAGAAGTTCCAAATATTAAGTACTGAAACAAACAAATAAGAAATTCGATTAATAGTCATGTAAACAAGTGAAAAAAAGAGTTGCAATCAAGTCGTAAGCCAAAAGTCCCATCATACGGACAATAATAATTAGATAGCATCAATTTCTTTGTTGTGGTGGCCTGGAGGCTTAAGACGCCCGCTTCTCATGCATGAGGGTACGCGTTCGTAACCTACTTACGGCAAGTGCCAATGTCACTTTATCCGAGTTATATGTACCTCTACTTTCTAAGATTATCTAGACACCAATGACAAACGGTGAAGGAATACATCGTGAGGAAATCAGGAGCTTATAATTTCTGATAATAAGTTTGAAATTGCCAATCCGCATTGAGCAAGCATGGTAATTAATGCTCAAACCTTCTCCGTGTGAGAAGAGGCTTTGCTCAGTAGTGGGCATTTATAGGCTGTTGATGATGATGATGACCAAATTAAAAAAATATATAAGAAAACTTACCAAAACGCCCCTCAAAGAAGCTATACTTCCAATCCTGTATGAGTATACCCCAAGCCATAGCTGGTGATAGAATCTGCGTGAGAGCAGCAAACGAGGACTGACAGAGCATCACACGATCTCTTACTGTCGTGTGACAGAATTCTGACGTCAGTGAGGATATAGCAGCTAGTGATGTTGCAAATCTAAAGAAGAAGAAAAAGTATTAAAATAATAGAACACATGCTTTCATAATAACTATCGTGAGACCTACTGAATTAACTTGAAATGACGGGTTACTGAGAAATGCTCTAATAGTTGCGACTCTTTTTTATTTTATTTATTTTTTTTAAAAAAAACGTTGCCCCACACTAGGATTTTCTCTTGTGTCGTGGGTGCGTTTACAAACATACAATATCACATAAACATGACACCCAGACCCGGAACAACAATCTGTGGATCACACAAAGAGTTTTTCCGTGCGGGAATCGAACCTGCGACACGTTGCGCGGCAGCCAGTTGCCCAGCCACCGCGCCAACTGCGCAGTCTTCCTTATGAGCAGCGTCTGCGGTCGCGGTAAAGTTGCGCTACCTACAGCTTACGGTATGCTGTACCGCACCGCACCTGTGTGACTCGAAACTAGTAGAGATTTTTTTGTATATTCAAGTAAGTAACCCGTCAGTTTTAGTTAACATACAGCATATTACCTAGTAGGAATCCCTTAAAAAGTATCGAAAACTGTAGTCACTGTATATTAAGTTTTAAAGTTTTCTCCAGTTATAATATTTATTACTGTTACGAATAAACTCGAACAAATTATCAAATACACAGAACGACTTCAGTTTAAAAGTTTTACTATTTCTATTTCTTTTCAACAGTTTAAAAAACTCTAGCATTAAAAGGACAATAACCAGACGATTTTTTGTCATTTTTTTATCAAAAATTGATAAAAAAATATACAATCTATTTTCTGTTAACTCATCTTCATCTCGAAAGAAATGAAATCTTTTCTTTATTCTTTCATATCAAAATATTATTTTAAATTAAAATAAACGGCGAAAGATTCTTTTCAATGCTTCCAAATCAATTCAAGTGCACTTCTTGTCCTTTGCCAATATTATTTTATCATTTTAAAGAAAGATAAGTTGTTGAAAGAGATTTAAAAAAACAATTGAATCGAGGATTGAGTAAATACAATTCGTTTCTAGCTGGATATTTTTGTAATTTGTTACATCTTTTAGATTAAAGAAAAGATGGATCGCGTGAGTGATCATCTATACTTCTTAATAAAGATAGTATCAAAGAAAAAGAGTATAAAATAAACTCTAAACGAATAACATTTAGGTACAAATTACTATTTCATGATTACCTATGAATTCTCCAAAGACCGATTGAATAAGTAGCGAATAACCTAATAATTACTTTTACATCCATGACATGAGTAGGTACAGACTATAGTTGAACCCAAAATGAATTCCAATTCATTGATCAGAAATAAAAATATACCTAACTAACTGTTACCCGCGACTTAGTCGGCGTAGATTCCTGATATATCTTCCTAACAGGAATCCCTGTTTTATCCCATAAGAGCATTTAATCGGGATATAAAGTATCTTAGCACTCATACCCTGCCAGTATACCGAATATCATCTAACTCCGTTCAGTAGTTTCAACGTGATTGACAGAAAAACATCAAAACAAAGAAACTTTACGTTTATAATAACATAACATCAGCCTTTTATCTCCGAAGGGGTAGACAGAGGTTAGGCAGTCGAGGCAGAGTGTTTATCCCATGGGAGCGTTTAATCGTAAAGTATCTCCTATACTAGACACTATCTGTATACTAAGTTTCATCAAAATCCGTTCAGCAGTTTCAGCGTCATTAACAAACAAATATCCAGACAAAAACTTTCACACCTATTATATAAGTTTGACTATTCAAAAAGGTTAAGGAAAACAAATATATGGGATAGGTACCATAATATCCTCTATCAAACCTGAAATTTTGAGAGAGACAACCTACCGTATCTAGTTACAACAGAATACCATAGTTTGGGCCAAGATAATAATGCTGTCAATGTTTTGGGCACACGACCAACAAGCCGAGTATACTGCACAAATACTGTATTATTTACAGTTTTGGATGCTAGCAGCGATGTCGATATTGAAGCTCTGTCTCAAATAATATATCGAGTTGGCAGAACACTAAGTCTACACAGCTCTATTGAAATGATAAAAGCAATAACGCATATGGAATTCATGTTAGATGATGTAGTGTTGTCTGTGTAAGATGGATTTCGTTAAATCGGTCTGATATTATTTTCTTTTTATTCGTTGAAGTAAAAAGGACATATATGTCGAATTATGTTGTACTTATACATATTAGAATTATTTTCATCAGATGTTATTAATCGCATTCATATTACTTAGAAGTTTCATCAACAGCCTATAAATGCCCACTGCTGGGCAAAGCCTCATCTCACACGGAGAAGGTTTGAGCGTTAATCACCACGCTTGCCTAATGCGTGTTGGCGATTTCAAACTTATAATTAGAAATTATTAGACTAGGTTTCCTCACGATGTTCTTCTTCACCGTTTGTCAGTAGTGTCTAAATAATCTTAGAAAGTATGTACATACATATAACTCGGCAAAAAAGTCACATTGGTACTAGCCATTGATAGGTTTCGAACATATCATAGGTAACCCACCTCGGGTTACCTATGGTATGGTATGGTAATAATGGCTAGTGCATGAGAAGCAAGCATCTTAAGCCTCCGGGGCTCCATGATATACAAGAAGTTTAGCTTGGCGAATTAAACCTACATCGTTAAAACATCAACCACTGAATAAATCTAGCACTTCTTCATCTTCCACGACAAGCACTGCTCTCAAATAATATTCCTCGTCATTCAATTTAAAATTTACTTTAAACTCGAGTCTAGTGGCTTGTTAAATAAACTTTGAACTTAAAAAATTCAGTTGAAAAACAAAGTGTGGATGGAAGAAAAATACTGGGTTGCCTGCTTATCTCGAATCCTTTAGAGGACGGAATTATTATGATGCTGGGGTGACAAGCTCGCAACCTCATTTTATCTTCACGCTGTTTTAAACTTAAGGGTTTAGCAGGGCCTTTTAATGTGGGTAGGTGAGTTACACTGGTAATTGTGTCAGAGAGACGGAAATTTTAAATTAGGTGAGGTAACTTTGTCAGTAAAGTTTTTGGCATATCTAGCATTACCGCTTGACAAGGAGTTGGGTCCTTAATGAGTAATCTGTTTTTCTAAAAATACATTTCTTGCTTCCCTTATTTCTGTTTAATTTTTTGGCTGGATCTTAACGTATTTTTGTCTGATTTCAGGTACGTTGGCGGTTGTGTTTAAACAACAAAGATTGGCATGTATTTCAACACTAAGTAACACTCAAAATCAATAGTTTCCACGTACAAGACTATACATAATAATCATTATTTTAGTATAAAACGAGTATTAAATTACTAATGTAATGTAAATAAAAAATACTCACAGAATACCCTCACAGAGTTTTGCAGCAGCTAACATCTCATAAGTCTGACTAGATGCAGAGAATAACGTACATAGGAATATTCCTCCAAATCCAATCCTTAGGAAATATATTCTTCCAAATGTGTCTATTAATAAACCAGCTATCACTGTTGACACGAACATACCTGCAAATAAGGGAATATTGTTACTGCATAGTTTCTGCAGAGAACAATTCTTTATGAGATTTACAAAGTGTTGTTCTATGTCTGGGTGTAATGTGTTAAAAATGATTATATTTATAAACGTATCCACAATTTGTATTGTAACTTTCGTGAGACATACTAAAAAAAATATTATGTTTTCGGCTTACTCACGTAATAATTTGACGAGGAACTCGACTAGTTTCAAGCGAGTGCACGTGAATCACGGCAGAGGGCGCGCTAGGTCCGCAGACTCGAGTAGCCAGTAGCAGCGCGACAGTCGCCGCGTCGCGGGTCGCGAAATGCTGCTCATGAATATGAGCCTCTAGCATGGCTTGAAACTAGTCGAGTCCCTCGTCAAATTATTACGTGAGTAAGCCGAAAATATAATAATTTACGTATCCATAATACCTACTGGAGAAATACCTAGTTTAGGAAATCTTTTTTTAAAGAATTAATTAAAAATGAATGTAGTTATAGCGAAAGAAGAATAATAAAATCGTGTCAACAGTTTAACGATATTACGTCATCTCTGTCTACCCAAGGAAGACAAGGATGACGATAAATAAGACTGACGTATATAATGCCTATGAATATTTATGAGACAAGAGATACCGATTGAGGCTGTATACAGACCACTCCATTGCATGTATATTCCAATACTGTACGGAACAAACATTTACCTGTATTATTAGCCAGGTAAACTTGAGGATCTAGAACTAACAGTATATACTGGTAAGTGAACAGACTCGACTCTATACGGGATTTAGGAAAATTAGTATAATATATGCACTTTTGGGCGTGTTGATGGTGCGGAGTGTTGTGTGCTGAATCTCGAATTTCATAAAAAAATATCACATTTCTACTCCCTTGGTTACTCTTCACTACAAGAAAAGTAGATTTTAGTATTTGTTTCATTTATGCTCATTACAAAAATTTTAAAATTATATACTTTGGAAAAGCAAGTTGGTTTGTATTATAACTTTCGTGAGGCATACTAAATATATTATTATGTTTTCGGATTACTCACATAATTATCAGTAGCAGTTTGACAGTCGCCGCGTCGCGGGTCGCGAAATGCTGCTCATGAATATGACCCTCTAGCATGGCTAAATGGTCAAATAATTACGTGAGTAAGCCGAAAACATAATAATTTATTTAGCAAGTTGGTTGGTTACGTTAAATAATATGTGGGAAGAAATTATTTCATGTGAAGACATTTCTTAAGCTAATACGATACTTTAGACGCTTGTCAGTTGATGACGATGATAATTATTATATTTTACTCACCAAAATAGGGCATAGCAGTCAACAGCCCTTTCTGTTTAAGGTTCATATTCAGGTCACATTCTGCTATCGGCAGCAAATACGAAGTAGTATTAGTTACTAGGATACTGGCCACACATCCAAAGAAACTGACAAATAGAAGTTTGACATGAAACCGTCCGAATTTGCTGAGCTCATACGCCTTGTTGATCTCTTGCATAGGCGTAACCGGTTCTGGAATTAAATAAAGAAAATTATTGTTTTTATAATAACAGTAAGACATACTACATTAACTGGTAGTAGCGTTCTCGAATAAATCTAAACTATTTAAACAGCTATCTTCACTCAAGCTCAGAAAATATTTCAACCCTTTTAATTAAAAGAAACCAATACTCTAGATACGATAACGGGCTGCTGATGGTGAATAATAAGTTATTTTAAAAGTAATCAGCTCTTGTTTAATACCGTGTCATATTAAATGAGAGGGGATTAGGAAGTTTATCACCATAAACAAAGTGAAATTTCAGACTCCTCAAACAAAACACTGTAGCGACACATGACATGTCACATCAAAGAACAGTTCACGCACATTGATGAAAACCAAATCAACGGATGACGTCACAAATCCTTCATCGCACATGTGATGTTTACATGCGAATTAACTCGGATAGAAAATCTCAACGAACATCCGCAGGTCAGAAAGCCCGCCAGGCAGGTACACCTCGTCTAGTCGAAGCATCCTCCTTTTCTGATCTTAGGGAACTCAACTCTCTGTTCCCTAAAACACCATAGTTAAGTCAAGGATAAAATTAACCAAAACTGGGTTTGTTATCTTGTACCCCTGCCTATCCCTGCAGGGATTACAGGTGTGATATTATTATGGTTATATTGTACAACAATAACATCGTTATTCAAAACAGTTGTACGCTATTGTTTACAACCCTACAACCGATCTAATGCAATCATTCAACCACGCACACACAAACACCACAGAACAATCAATAATCAACTCTATCTTCAAGGTGCTAGAGCGAATTTCCATTAACACACTTGATAACGACTGACATAGGGTTGTCCGTAAGATCTTATTTCCTACATAAAAGATAAACATTAATTTCCATAAGCTTCTTGCTACTTTACTAGGTAAAGCCGGGTCCAAAAGTAATGTTGAACTAAATTTTATATTAGGCTCGGCCATAAGGGTCAAGTTGGACCAAAGAAGGGATTATGATGACCGATGGTGTACCCGGCTGATCCCTAAATGCTTTGCTACTATGATATTTTGCGTTTTAGTTAAGTAAATACATGTTTTATAAGTGAATACAGGGGTGGGAATTGTTTTGTTTAAGCTTTATTCAGAAAATAATAAAGAGATAAACCCTTCATAACTAATAAGAATAAAAACTATGCTGTTGCCTATCAACCCAAACTCAAATATCAGCATTTCTTTCATACGTATACGGAAAGAAAAGGATAACAAATTGGCAGATATTCACTACGACCAAACACAATCACACGTACCACGGAGGTTTTTTAATGTAAGTAATTTTATAAATTTAATTAACAACTAGAAATCTTTACGCATTTCCGAAACAATACTATGAACACATATGATAAAAAACAAAGTAACTGAGTAAGAGATCTGATTTTTTTGGCACATAACCCTAAAAACATCTGCATCATCATTTACTACTATCTATTACGTATAACTGTACCTAGCATTTCTTTTTTAACACATAACAGAGTCAGACCAGTCCAAGACGAGTCAGGCTAGCAGTAACAAATTACAAATGAGCAATCATAATTAAAAAAAAATACGAACCAACTTTGTCAGGCACATCAATATTCAAATCAGCCATTTTGATTAAACTATTAATAATAATTCACAAAACAATTAGTTTTCATAATAATTACTACTACACCCAACATTATTATACTACTGAAAATATTCCAGTATGAAGCCTTATTTTGTAACACAGTCCTTGATGAATAATTAATCACCAGTTAATTCTGAGCTCTCATTTCCCTAGAGACCGTTACCTTGCAGCTCAAGTTTAACTGGCCAAGTTATCTCTATGTAAATTTTAGATAAAATTACGAAGTGACTTCCTGTAATCTCATATTTGTATATTTGATAGAAATTATTTATTTTGATAAGTCAAGAGAAATAGGTATTGCGTAGAAATTGTATCAATGTTTGTATTTAAATGAGTCAATTAATACGTTTGTCCGTCATCGCTTATATTTAGGATTGACTCATCAGTAGCCTGTGATAGTCTTTTTTTTATACCACGACGGTGGCAAAAAAGCACACGGGCCACCTGATGGTAAGCGGTTACCGTGGCCTATGTACGCCTGCAACACTTGGGGCATTACATGCGTCTTGCCGACACTTAAGAAACCTATTTACTCCCCTCTTGAAGAACCCCATGAAGACACCCGGGAAAAGTTGAGGTGGAGCAAATATAACCGTAGTCAAAGTACAGTGGCCAGCATATCAATTTAGTCCAATCTGATTTATTGGATTTTCGACTTTCTGTCAATACAATAAAGTTGATGATACTGAAAAGGGTACGTTAATCTGCTTGTCGCCGCCACACCTGCACACTAATGACATACAATATGTTTTGTGACAACAAAACGCGTTGTCTTGTAGAAAACTGTTTAATTACGTCATCATTTTCGACGCAGTGTTTAGGAAAAACGTGCCTAAACTTTTGCAATTACGTAGTGACCTTTAGGTCGTTCACCTTTCTTAATTAGGGTTGAGCTGTAGGCGTTACCTAGGTACGTACTACCTGTCAGGGATAGATCCACTGACTTCATTGTTTAGAGCTGAAATAGACGGTTCTTCTTTGTATTTAAGTATTTTGTGTTTATATCTACTAGACATGTTTTCTATCAAGGAAATATTTTTAATTCGTTTTCGCTTTCAACTCCCTCTGCTTCTCTTTCTTATATAACAGATAAGAGTAGTAAAATAAAAGTTACATATACGGAATACTAGCCTACGTATCAATTAATAAGGTTTACAAAATTAATTTATGCAAACTTAACCTGAAACCTTCTTACTTAACAAACACGATCATAAAATTACAAATCACCCAATTGATATTTACCCCAAAGCATCGTTTAGTTCAAAATTGAAACTTAATTACTTTTTAACAAAGTTAAATTCAGCCCTGAACAGTACAAATTACCTATCAATCGAGTTACCACACCTTGCGCAATATCTAGAGACGTTTAACAGAGCATTCATCACCACTTAAACAAATATCTACCGTTTAAGTAAACACCACAAAATGCCACCGAACACATACATTACAAACGTACATGTCGTGAGTAATGCTCGGTAAATATTTATTAAATAATTCAAGTTCCGCATAAAACCGGCAATGGATTAGTATACACGCGATAATCACGCGCCGCGCGGCACTTTGTGCTACCAAAACAGGCATTCATGAAATAGTTATAAGATGGTGTTTCTCCCTTTTGAATTAAGTCCCATTTATACTGGTTGAGGCGGGGTGCCAGTGTGCGCGTTGAAATGAGAGCAAGATTGAATATTTAGTCAACTATCATATACTTATCTAATGTGGATTCATATTGGACTGCAGTGAAACTAATGAGATAGTTTAACTTTCAAATATATGATTTAACTCTTTAAGTACCGTCATTATAGACACAATTAAAGAACAATAGGTTGCGGTCACTGGTGTCCTCGCGGTGTTTGACAGTTTAAATTTAATATATTAAATATGCATTTGTTTGCTGGCAAACCATGTTCTGAGTGCGAATACAAGCTTCAATGCGATTCCTTCTTAAGAATACAATCCATTACAAAGCATTTTCTTCAAAAATGTACTATTAAAGCATCGTTATAGAGCCAAACTTATCTGACCGTCTTGTGAAACCACTATAACTGTGACCACACATTGACCTACGTACACTAGAATTACTCATTCGCTAATGGTGTCCGTGTTTCACGGCGAACACCTGCGTCCGAGCCGCTGCAGCAACTATTACTGTAACACGTATGTGTGTATCTTGTAACAAGTACACAGGAAAGAGAATGAAATGTATATATTGTATGTATGTATGTTTTAAGTTTAATGTAGACTTTTCAGCGAAGTAGACTGGGTTTGTGAAAATCCGATTTTGAGAAGAATCTGATTTTGTCACACAACCACTCATCATACGTCTCTCAGATGGGCAAGTAATAAGACTACCGTATCTTGTTTATGAGACGTATGGTTTCCGTGAATACCAAAAGAATAGGTGGTGATGCTCTTTTTCCGACGTAACACCTTATTTAACCGCCTTCAAAATAATAAAAGAGGTTGCCAGTTTGACCTGAATGCATGTTTTAAATGTGTGGAGTGATACCACGGTCTCACAGAAAACCGACGTGAAGCAACGCTTGCGTTGTATTTCGTCGTGTGAGTGAGGTTACCGGCGGCCCAATTACCCTCCCTTTCCCCAATCTCCTCAATTCCTGAATCCTCAACGATCCTCAAACTTCTAATCCCCAAAAGGCCGGTAACGCACTTGTAACGCCTCTGGTATTCCAGGTGTCCATGGGCGACGCCGATTGCTTACCATCAGGTAATCCGTCTGCTCGTTTACCGGCTTATGGCATAAAAAAAATATATGTTTATGCGCGATTATCTCGCAATTATCCGAACCGATATGGATGCGATTTTACTAAAAGTGTCTGTTACACTTAGGAGAAGCTTTATCACATTAATTAACCGACTACTAAAAAAGAGGGGGTTCAAATCGGTTTGTATAGAATTGCAATATTATTGTTACTTGTAAATTTTTTAATTCAACAGACTAAATGGAAATTTTAAGTTGAAAAATAAAAGACTATAGTGTTTGTACACAACCTAAGTCATTATACAAAATGAAAATTGTTTAAATTCAATAGATTAATGGTCCTGTTTTTGACCCCAATCTCATTTGGATAAAAGCAATGAATAAAATTTGCGATGAAACTGGTTAACGTAAAAGCGCTTGATCATTCTACTTTTGATACTAAAAATATTTTCAATAATCCTTTGTTATTAAAGGTGGTAAGTTTTTATATAAGTTTTCATGACTGCGAAAACATCCTAAGTACAACAATATACGATGGACATATTTTTCATAGACATATTTTTTGACATACATGTCAGCAATGGATGGAAGCCTATGCATCGCTTTAAAATCCGAGGTATGTATATTAGTCAGTGTCGTGGTGGCTCAGAGGTTTAAGACGCCTCTCATGTATAAGGGCGCAGTTTCGAAACCTACCAACGGCAAATACCAGTATGACGTCCTCCGAGTTATAGTTATGTACTTTCTAAGATGATTTAGACACCGCTGACAAACAGTGAAGGAAAACATCATGATGTTTGGAACCTGGACTAATAATTACAAACGAATTATGATATTGTATTAGTCAGATTATTCCAAAAGAAACTCAATAACACTATACCCAATCCGGGAAATGAACAAGGGACTTGCTAGTAGCCGCTAAACCAGTGCGAGGTTCATCGTAATAGGGCTAACACCAGCTTCTAAATTCTATACCCTACTGGGAATATAGGATATCGAAAAGCTATCAATATTTTTCCGTCCACTTAATGGAACTCGCTTCAAATCGTGATTCAGTGAGTAGCAGATATTACACTACTAAATAAACTAGACATTTCATATACTCACTCAGTTTTATCTAGAAAACTGAATTGGTAAAAAGCTAAGAAAATTGGTAGAATAATAATATTCTTTAGTCAATTACTGATCGATCCCAGTAGATAAATGTCATAAACTCTAGTTAAATCGAAGAAATACAAATGTCATTGTCTAGAACTGACATACATTTTGACATAATTAGTCGACTGTCATTGTCTATCCTAAACATTGACTTTTTAATTCACTTCAATTAGTCTAGTATTATCTTTTATTTCTCTTTTGAAACACTGAAACTGATGTAAAATGAATGAATGATGAATTTTAGTGATGTAATGGAATCATTAAGTCTTTAACAGTATCGAAATACACCGTAGGAGTGTTGCGATCCACTGCTATGTGCCAAAATTGTATCCGACGAAATGAAGATGTAATTGGGCCACTTTCTTTACAGTTGCACCTTCTTTGACCTTTTATTGGACTATTGATTAGTTTTTACAAAATGTTCTATGGTCTTCTATACATCTACTCTTTGCTAGTTGGGTATCTATACTATGTACTATTTACTATTTATTTAGTCTGGCCAGTCACATCAGGGCACACGACAGGAGATAGCTATTAAGGGTCGCCGTTACCGAAATCGGTAAGGAGGACTATATATTTATTTATATGTATATGCTTTATTGTACACATTTAAGTAGCTCAAAAAACAAACAATTCAAGTAAATATGCGTACAATGGACGGTCTTTTCACACAATGGTGATTTCTTCCAGACAACCTTTGGATGGAAATATTTATAAGACACCAGATATGGGCTAGTTAAGTGTACAATAAAAAAGACAAAATTAATTACCTACAATACAACCTACAATAGATATAATATACTAGCAATATAAAAAAATACATAAATAATATTAAAATACAATAAACTATGTGTGTAAGTGCGTGTGTGTATTTGTGTGTGTGTGTTTGTTTGTTTGTATGTGTATGTGTGTACAATTAATGAAAGATATATATATATACTATATATATTATATACTATTTAGTGCATAGCCCAGAGTCAGGTTATGGTGTGTCAGTTAAATTCTTCGCAAGCTATAACTGAGGGCAACAACCGGAATTATTATAATTGACGGGAAGGAAAAAAATGCAAAATGGCGGAGGCCGACCCCTGCTCGTTAATAC